TTTTGGTTTTTCTCCGGTACCGGGAACCGAACTCACGACCTTGCGCTTGCCAGGCAGGCGCTTTGCCGCTGAGCTAAATCCCCAGCCCCTATACCTGAATTTTTATTATTTTTTTTATTTATTTGGGGGGACAGGTACTGGGAATTGAACTCAGGCACTTGTGCCGCTGAGCTATATCCCCGGCCCAATATATGAATTTTTTTTTTTTCTGTTTTTTTTTCCGGTGCTGCGAATCGAACTCATGACCTTGCGCTTGCCAGGCAGGCGCTAGGCCACTGAGCTAAGTCCCCAGCCCCCCCAATATATGAATTTTTAAAAGAAATTCATTGTTTGGGGGGAAAAAGTACACCCAGGCATGACCGTGCACACCTGTAATCCCAGCACTCAGGAGGCTGAGGCAGGATTGCCATGATTTTGAGACCAGCCTGGACTGCATCATGAGACCCTGTCTCAAAAAATGAAGTGCAAAGCCAGAGCCAGTGTTGTTCACAAGCATGCAAGCTGGCCTGTCATCCCAGCTGCTCAGGAGACTGAGGCAGGAGGACCCGGAGCTCAGGCCGGTCCTGGCAATACAGCAAAAACAAGTCTCAAGATAAAATAAGAGGTGTTTAGAAGAGCAGCACAGGCTGAGGGAAAGACACGGGCGCAGGCCTGAACCGCAGAGCAAGCAAGGTGCCTTGGCAGTGAAAGGCGAGCCTGGCAGGGACACGGTGGCAGGGCAGAAGCACAGCCTGCATTGGGCTCCATGGCAAGGACTGGGGAGCAGCGAGCACCCAGGGCCCCCGCCTCAGCCACCTACCCGCTCCACGAGCCTGCCCTGTTTTCCAGACTCTGCAGTGTTCCAGTCTCTTAACAAAAAACACAAGAAAAAGGAAAAGGAATTGCTAAACAAACATTTATTTAATAAGAAAATCTCAGCACTGGGAGGCTGAGGCAGGAGGATTGCCCAGTTAGGCCAACCTGGGCTACCAAGGCCATGCACAGATGCACTGACAGGTAAGGCAGGGTGTTCTGTGACAGCAGTCCTGAGTTTGTGCAGCTGGCCTGACAGGCAGGCCCAGAATCGTTGCCTCTGCGGTCAAGAGGTGCTTCCAGCTCCAGGGGCTCAGTCTGTGTCCTGGTCACTGCCATCCTCGGGGCTGGGGTCCTGCAGGACAGGGAGATAAGAAGGCTGTAGGGCCAGCACTGCCCCACCCGGGGCGCTGCCTCGAGCCTATACCCCATCACCAGACCCTGCCTGGAGTCTGCATGTACCCTTCTTGTTCTAATATATCGGGCAATTAAGCCAGGCATGGCAGCACACACCTGTGATCTTAGCACTTAGGAGGCTGAGGCAGGAGGATTGTCGAGTTTGCAATCAGCCTTAACTTCAAGAAAATAAAAACCAATAAAAAGGACCAGGCACCAGGCCTCTTCTGGGTGTGTGGCCGCAGGTCTGGCCTGGGCACAGTGCCACACGCTGCGCTGCACTGAGCAGACCCCACCCCGCCAGGCCAGCGCCTGGAGACCCAGCCCCTACCTGGGCACCTGAGCCGGCGGCCGCAGCACTGGCAGCGAGTGCAGTGGCACCGAAGTCGTGGACGGGCAGGGTGCTGAGCCACTGGGCCATGGAGCGCTCGTGCCGCTCGGTGCTGACGATGGTGGGGTAGATGTGCTGCTCCTTGAAGGCTGCCACCTTGGCTTCCTCCTGGGCCCAGTCCAGCGGCTCATGCAGCCCGTCCCCACCGAAGCGCTGGTTGTAGGTCTCGAAGTGCACCCGCTCCAGCACAAGGCCGAGCCCCGGCGCCTTGGGCACGTCCACCTTCTCCTCACCCCAGCTGCGCTCTAGCACGCTCTCGGGGGCGTAGCCCTTCACGATGGCCACTGCCAGCCCCACCATCTTACGGATCTGGTGCATCATGAAGCTCTGGCCCTTCACCTTGATCACGGCGAACTCCAGGCCCTCGCGCTCGAAGGGCGGCTCGCAGAACATCTCCAGCACGTAGCGGCGCGCGCTGGGCTCCCGCGGCCCCTTCTGCGAGGTGAAGTTGTGGAAGTTGTGGGTGCCCTGGTAGCAGGCCAGCAGCCTATTCACCTGCTGCAGTGTCTCGGCACTCAGGCGGTACGTCTCGTCCTGCACGTCCCTGTCCTTGTGGGCGAAGGCAAAGGTGGGCAGCATGTAGAAGTAGGTCCTGGCGTCACACCTGTTCTTCGAATTGAAGCCGCCTGTGACCCTCTTCAGCCCTGGAGACGTGAGGAGATGCTGTAAGCAGAACCAGAGGCGGGATCGCGGCCACCGCATGAGCAGCACCACTCGCCAGCACACAGAGCCCTCGGCTGGCCTTGGGCACCATCCTCCTCTGAACCCACACAAAGACATACCCGAGTGAAACCCAGAACCCTGACAGACACACGGTGTGTCAGGACCGCACCACCAGCCCCAGGTGTGGACCAGGCAGCCTTCACCACAAGCCACAAGAAAGTATCCAGAGACCCAGGGGCCACCAGCCGGATGCTCCTTTGCAGATCAAGCCCCATAGGTGACAGAGTTTCTCACAGCGAGACCCGGACATAGCTCCAGAGCCCCTCAGCAGCCAACCAGACTATCCCAGCAGAGCAGGGACAGGCACAGCAGCTGGGGAGCCCAGAGGGGCACTGACTGGGCCATCTGCAGCACACTCCAGCCAGGCACGGTAGCACACATCTCCAGTCTCAGCTATGTAGGAGGCTGAAGCAGGAAGATTTCATGTTTGAGGCCAGCCTGGGCAACTCAGGGGGACCCTATCTCAAAAAATAAAAAAGGGCTGGGAATGTAACTCACTGGTATAGCACTTGCCTAGCAAAGACTAGTCCCTGAATCCAGTCCTCAGAACCATCAAAAGAAAGAAAAAGGGGGACTGGGGATTTAGCTCAGTAGCACAGTGCTTGCCTGGCAAGCGCAACGTCATGAGTTCGATTCCCGGTACCGGAAAAAAGTCAGAAAAGAAAAAAAAAAAAAAAAAGAAATCTTAAAAAAAAATAAAGAAAAAGGGCAGACAGAAGACTTGTATGCAGGAGACCCCATCCACTGCATCTGTCTGCACAGATTTCTGGAAGTATTAGGCGGGAACTGCAGGGCTGAGGTTCAACTGGGTGGAGCCCTGCTGGGCGTGCATGAAGCCCTGGCTTCCAAACCCCGAGCCACAGAAAATGCACTGATGGTGGGGCCCGGGGAGGAGCAGGAGGAGCCGCGCCCCACGGGAGACGGCAGGCTGCACCTGGCTCCACTCCGAGGAGTCGGCACCCCACAGCAGCTCCTCCCTTCCCGGCAGCCGGGCCTGGCACAAGTTCTTTTGTGGGCACTTGCACGGGCAGCTCCACCCCTGGCATCCTGTCCTGTGTCTGCGATCCAGCATCATAGACACAGACATCACAAGGACACTGGCAGGGTTCCTATGGTCCCGGACAGAACTGCTGCGGAAAGGCTGACCAGTGGTAGCTGACAACGCTGCAGCGGGCCGCAGTGCCAGCCCCTGCCTATGATGCCACTCCACACCACAGGGACGTGAACCGCTGGGGAGCCGTGCACAGACTTGGCTGCACACTGACCGTGCTCCCAGAGGGCGGATGCCAGGAGTCCTCTGAGGTGAAGGGTGCACCCTAGGCAGAGATGGCCGTGGTGGAACAAAAAGAAAACAATCATCCTGGTGATCATGCATACCTGCAGTCCCTGCTGCTCGGGAGGCTGAGACAGAGGGTCCAGAGTTTGAGCCAAGTTTGGACTATATAGCAAGACCTTGTCTCAGAAAAGAAGCAAGAAGAGGAAAGAAAGAAAAACAAAGCACTGTATCAAACTGGGCTCTTTGGCCAAGAGGCTTTCTGTCCCCATCTGCTTCATGGTGGGTCCTGTAAGACATGGGAGGACCTGCTCTGCTCTACCTCCATGTCCCTGACACCCTGCAGGGAGTGGGGCACGTGCGGTGTATGTCCCCCTCAGACTCTCAGCAGGATATAGCTGCCCGGGCCACAAGGCTCACCCAGGATCCGGATGTGGGATGGAAGGTGGCTGTTGATCTTGTCCAGGAGGTCATCAATCAGCCACACCTTCAGTGACACGACCTGGCCGGCTGCAGACACACCCTGTGAAACAGCAGAGCGAGGATGGGTCCCACCCCCAGCACACACCAGCCCTCACGCAGGCCCTACTTCACAGCTTGCTGACCAAGAGGAGTGTTGGGGCCAAAAGATGCTGGATCAGGGGGTGAGATGGAAACAGCCCCACGTGCGACCTGACTCCCAGCAACTCAGAAGAGAAGCACAACGTAAATAGGACTCTGAGGCAGCAAGGGACAGACTCCCATCACAATATTAGGGGCACGAGAGGGTGAGAGGGCCCCGGGATGGGCTGGTGGCAACACAGGTACATGCACAGACTACAAACTCATCAGGTAGGCCGAAGGTGTGGGTTGTGGTGAAGCCCTAGGTTCAATCCCAGTACAAGGGGATAAAACCTAACAAAATAGCATTTGCTCAGCGCAGCGCTGGACTCACCCCTTCTACTCAGTGTCAGAGGTTTCTACTCCTTGTCTTTCTGAATTGCAAAAAAGCAAACAGGAAAACAAAACCATCTCTAAAGACGGTGGGAATTATAGGAAATGTCTAAAGCAAGGAACCTCTTTTGAAATGCTGTCTTCCTCAGCAAACATTTAATCTCTTCTGCCTTGAAAAAGACAGAGTTGCAAATGGAAAAATGAAAAAGTAAAAAGTGGCTAGGTGTGGTGGCACACCCCTGTAATCTCAGCACTCAGGAGGCTGAGGCAGGAGAATCACTCTGGGAATTTGAGGTCAGCCTGGGCTACATAGTGAACTCAAGGCCAGCCTGAACTACACAGCAAGACCCTGTCTCAAAAAAAAAAAAAAAAAGGTTCAGAGCAGTAGCAGCCCTGCCCCTTCCCATGGTGAAGGCTACAGGAATAAGGCTCGCAGCACCCGACCGTCTTCTCACTGCCTCTCCCAGGCTGGCCTGGCCTTGCCTGGGATCAGGAGACCTGGGTATGGGCCAGGTTTCTGGGTAACAGAAGCGTCATGGCCTGGCGTGGTGGTCCTCACCTGTGATCCCAGCTTTCGGTGTGCTCCAGAGAGCTGCAGGCTGGCACCCGTGCCCTACAGCCTTAGCAGCTCCCCTCAGGTGACACAGGGCCAGCCCTGGGGGGCCACCTGCCCACACAGGCCCTGTGGTCCACACCAAGCCCCATGCATGTGATGTGGAGGACCATCACATGGGCCACCAGATGGCCAGCAACTCAGTCCACAATGGACATGCTAGGCCAATATGGCGGTGTGCTGAGAGTGGGGCATATGAACTGTGAAATGCACCCCAGAAATGCGTCTTTACACAGTGCGTGCGGAAAAGGGCACATGGGGGACATGCTGGGTTCAAGAGCAGACTGCGGAAGCTAACTTCACCTCTCCCTTCTTGAACACGTGTGCTAGAAAGTACACTAGCAATGTGACTTGCCTTTGTGGCCGCACGATTCCACCTGCCCTGGCAAGGCTGATGTGGCTGGATCTCAAGCAGGTCATGGCCACGGTGCTACCTGCAGGGGCCAGGCTAGCAAAGGCCAGCGCTGACAAATACAGTCCTGCCAGCAGCAAGCGCCTGGCTCCAGCTGCACCTCTGACCACACAAAGCAAATGTCCCATTCTGGTCAGGCGTGGCTGACTTCTGCCTCTGCCCTCTGTACCCCAAGAGGCCTAACAGATGCACGCTGGGTGACAAGTGGGCCTGCTCGGCAGGTGGAGCTAGGACAGAGGTGCCACCCACCTTGTCTGTGCGGGCGCAGCGCTGGAAGGACATCTTCCTCATGTCCTCACCGTGACTCTCAGGGATGCAGCCTGCCCGGACCAGGGCAGACACCAGGTCGTCTTCAATTGTCTTGAACTGCGAGGACCCTAGGTTCCTCTGGAGAAAAGACCAGACTTTTCACTGCCGGCCTAGAGTGGTAAAAGCCACCGGTCCATTTCTGCCAAGTTCCCAGACCAGGGGCCAGGTGAGATGGGCCACACCAGGCCTGCAAAGCACCCAAGCCCAAACCACCATCCTGCCAGCTGCCCTGCAGGAAACTGCTGGGCAGGCTGGGTTAGCATCCAGGCTTTTCCTGAACCCTCAGCTCACGCCCGCTGAGCAGCCTCCAGGGAGAGGCAGGCTCTGTCCACAAGTCTCTACACTGCACCTCTCAGCCCGGCCTAACAGGGACCCAGGACCCAACCTCAGTGACAGTGACACCCTGCTGACTTTCCCAGGGGGGTGACCAGGGGGGAAGCGCTTCCCAAGGTGCAGCTCACAGGCTCCTCCGCTAGTGTCCAGTCCCTTGGCTCAGTGTAAAACCATGGATACTTCTCAAATGGAATCAGAGATATCAGCCTCGCTGGGAGCTAGTTACCACCCCCTCTTCCCTAACAAGGAACTGAGGCAAACAGAAGCTGGTAAGACACAAAGTTCTAGGGCAGCACCCACAGCAACACCTTACATAATCAGAATCACTCACAAAAATGCCTAGGTCACCCACAGCACAGCGGCGGTGGTCTGTCTGCTCCACCTAATGTTTGAGGCTAAATGGACTGAAACATTTTCCAACCTATGATCACCATCTACCAGCTGCCAGAAATTAGTTTCACAGCCAGAAGAGGTGGTGCACGCCTGTGATCCCAGAACTCTGCGAGGTTGGGCATGAGGATCACAAGATGGAACCCAGCATGGGCAGCTTAGTGATTTCGTAGGACCCTGTCTGGAGATATATAATAAAGGCCTACAGATGTAGCTCAGTGTAAAGGCCGAGGGTTCAATCCTCAATACAACGTTACTTTCTTTAAAGTAAAACAAATATGAACTGTTTCCTTACTAATATCATTCACAGCATAAAAACTGCTCACACACCTAGTTAGATTACACGTTATCTTCCTGATGTTTTAGTGGGATCCGATTTACAACAGGGAACTTGGTCCTGCGGGCCATGTCCAGAGAAGGTCAAAGAATATGAAACTTGGGAGACTGAGGCAAGGGCAGCCTAAGGTATGTAGACCCTGTCTCAGCCCTGTGCCCCCCCAAAACAACCTGGAACAAGGGAGTGCTGCAGGAAGGCCCACAGGAAAGAACAAGGTCTGCCTGTTCTTCTGAGCTCCAATGAGAGTTGAATCAAGGCTGCCTGCTTGCCCATACCTCCATGATGCTCCCCTACATGCAGGGCACCGCCCCCAACATGTCCTTGGTGCTCATACTAGTAAGCCTGGCCAGCTCAACCTGTCCAGGAGGTACTGCACGAACTCCCGTGGTAGCGATGAATAATCTGGCAGACTGCCTGCTGGCCCAAGGCCAGCCCTGACCCCCTTGGGAGACTCTTGGGTGATGCGCCAACCAAGCCCCCACTTGGCACGGTCTCTCACAGAGCGGGCTTGATGAAAGCGGCCGGGATTCAAACCGAGACCTTGCGAGCTCGGCCACCATGACTGTTTCCCCTTTCCCTGGGCGGCCCCTTCTCTGAGGTCCCCCTGTGAAGCCGGCATCAGTAGGGAGCTGGGTCTCACCTGCATGCCGTGGTAGCCCTTCCCCGAGTAGGCCATGAGCAGCACGATCTTGCGCTTGGGCAGCTTTCGCGGCTGCTCCTCCACCTCGCCGCCCCGGAGCCTCTTGGGGGGATTCTGCGCCTCCTCCCAGACCCAGCCCCCGCGAGCCTTCCGGTCGGGCGGGTGCGCGGCCGGCGCGTCCTTCCCGGCCATCAGGGACTGGCTGGGAAGACACGGGCGAGCGCGCGGGCCCAGTCAGGCCGCGGGGCAGGGCAGCGGGGCGCGCTCAGCTCAAGCCCACTCCAGCCCTCGCCCCGGACGGGCCCCCACCTCAACTCCCCACGGGGGCCGGACGATCGGAAAGGCCGGCGCAGTGGGCAGTGCCAGGCAGTTGGGTTGCGGGGCGGCGAGGGGCAATGCAGGGCGGCAGCGGGCAGCAAAGCGGCACGGGCAGCATGCGGGGCGCGCAGGATCTTTACCAGAGGGCGCGCGGGCCAGGGCGCGCCGTCCACCGTCCCCAGGCTCTCAGCAGCGCAGCCTGCAGGCCGGGGACGCCCATGTGCGGCGGGGTGCGGGCGCCAGCCCCTGACCTCCCGGACCCCTGGCGAACTCTGACCTCAGACCTCCTCGGGACCCCTGGCGCCGCTACCCCACCCAAGGGCCCACGACGACTTCCTGGACTCCCCGATCTGGGGCCTTCCCCTGCCCCTCCCAGGAGGCTGTGCTCTGGAGTCGGGGTCCGGCCCCCGCGCAGGGGCCTGAGTGTCGCGCCCGCCCGCCCCACTCACGACAACGCGGACGCACCCGAGGCCGACCACGTGGGTGGGGGGCGGAAGCGGGCGCGCGCTGCGCCGGACGGCGGCCGGGCGCGGACAAAAGTCCTTCCGGGGTGGGGCGGGGTTTCCCGAACCGCGCAGCCGTGCACGCCGGGGGGGCGGCTAGGGGAGCCGCTGCTAAGCTGGCCCTCCGCGTAATGCCTGGGCGGCCGCGCCCGAGTCCTCAGGGTGACCCCTTCCCCCGTCAGCGAGCACGCGCTGGGCCCTCGTCCCCGTTACGGGCAGGCGGTGGCCACCCGCGGGCTTAACCCTCAGGGAACCGCCGCGCAGACCTGCGCCGGCCGTGGACAGACTCAGCCGAGTCCGGGTGACAGCCAAGATTCACAGTGGTAGGGTGCGCCGCGGCGGGCGCTGCCACACGGAGCTGCACCCGCAGCCCCGCGCTACACACACCGCCCCCTGCCTGCTTTCGCGTTGCTCCAGCAGGGTCAGCGCTAGAAACAAGAGCAAGACGCCTTCCCTCCGCGGCATCGCCTGCACGCGGGAGAGATTTGCTCCCGCGGGAAGCTCGCTGCACTGCCCTCACTCCCAGCCGGCCTGATCCCGGACAAGCAGGCGTGGAGGGCCCTGCTGTTGGCCGTCCTTGCTCCAGACCGGGCCCTTCGAGTCTGACTGCATCCCCAGTCTGCATTCCTTCACCTCCTCTGCATGTCCATCTTCGCGTCGCCCTCCAACCATCCCGCCTCCTCTATGAAGTCTCACGGAGTACCGCCCGCCTCAGCTGCCCTGGCCAGTCTGGAGTTGTGGGCAGCAGGGAGAAGCCTGCTCCAGGCTGGGTATGGGGCAGTGCAAAGGCTCCGGGGCAGGAATGTGTAAGCGCCTTCCTGTGGGTGGGCGTCCGCCCGGAGTCTGCAGTTAGAGAAGCCAGCCACAAAGCTGCTCGGTGATGGAGGCAGTGCTGGGGACCCGGCCAGGAGCCAGGGGTCAGAACCCTAAGCACCTGACAGGTCGCACGCCTAGGCAAGGCCTGCTAGGTAAGACAGATCAAAGAATACCGAGCCTCCCTGCCAGCTCACTGTCCCACCTTGTCTCACCGAGGGTCGGCGTCCAGGGGTCGGGACACAGGCTGACCCGCCTACCTGAGCCCTGCCTCTAGTCACACCTGCCCTGGCAGCAGGCACCCAGAGATGAGTGATGCGTAAAGCACTGGAGACTCCTGACTGTTGTCTGGAACCAGAGAGCCACCGCGGCTGGCCTCGGGGACTGGGCTGGGACGTGAACAGGTGTTGCACACGTCACCACACACCTGTCCAAACCAGTGACTGCGCAGCCCCCAGTGCGAGCCAGAGCTCTGGTGACCCAAACAGGCTCCTGTCGGGCCACTGGGAGCCAGGCAGGCGAGAAGCCAGGGCTCTCTGCACTTCTTGCTCAATTCTGTGAAACCTAGAACAGCTCTAAGAAGTGGTCCACGAAGGCAGCACGCAGAGTGCCACGGTGCGGCTCAGCATCCGGGGCAGTCAGAGCTGCTGAGAAACACTTGCTGCAGGCTTGGTTTGGAGCCAGTGCCCCCTGGCAGACTCGTTTTCGCCTCCCCAAGAACTTCCATTTTTAATATTGGTTGGCCTTTCTGGTAACTTAATGTTATTTTTATCTTTATAAAAACAGTATTTTAAAAACACAAGCCCTGCAATTCAATAAAAACGAAAACCAGTCAAGTGCTGGTGGCACAAGTCTGTCTTTCTGAAAGGCTGAGACAGGAGGCTCGAAAGTTCCAGCCCAGCCTGGGGAATTTGGCAACTTAATGAGATCCAGTGTCAAAATAAAAATTAAGAGCCAGATAGCTCAGCGGCACAAGCACCTGCCTGGCAAGCGCAAGGTCTCGAGTTCAATTCCCAATACCAAAAGAAAAAAGAAAAAGAAAAAAATAAGAGCCAGGTGGAGTGACGCATGCCTGTAATCCCAGCACTTGAAAGGCTGAGGCAGGAGGATCATTGTGAGTTCGAGACCATCCTGGGCTACAAAGTGAGCTCAAGGCCAGGCTGAACTGCATAGCGAGACCCTGTCTCAAAAAGACAACAAACCAAAAAAAAAAAAAAAAAAAAAAAAAAAAAAAAAAAAAAAAAAGGCAATTCAAAAAAGCAAAGGAAATTACCATCAGACCACTTGTTGAGAACTAGAGGACTTTTAAGTCAAGGGGGGCTTGTGGCAGTGCCTGTCACCCCAGCTATTCCTGAGGCAGAGGCAGGGGAGCCCTTGAGCCTGGGGATTTGCGGTCAGGCAACACAAGACTGGGAGGCCTGGAGTCCTCAGGAACAAAGGTGGCGTGGGCAAGACCCCAAGGCTGACTTGTGAGGGACATGAGGTTCTTGGGACCCCACAACCCTCCCAGCACTGCTGAGAAGGAAGCAAGCACACGGTGTGGCTGTGGGGCCAGCGCTGGAGGGCTGAAGCAGGACAACAGTTTGGAGCTAGTGCAGTGGGAGATCCCGAGGTCAGTCCCCAAGCAGGAAACTTGGAATCAGGTGTCCTCAAGGCCTGTGGCACCACCCGCCCTTCTAGCCTGCCCCCTTGGCCCGGAGGGACAGTTTTCCACAGGGCTGGAGCACATTAGTGAATCCCAACTGTCCACCCCGTGCAGCCCAGCTGTCACTCTGGGGTTTGCTACCAATTGATGGGAGGCCCCTATGAATGGCTGAGGATTTAATACTAACCAATGGCTCTCCATGTTACTTGTGAACCTGCCCAACGCCTACACCGCTTGTCTGGAGATGGGCAGACGACTCATCGTGACCCTCTGAGTTACTGGTCACCCTGAGGCCCGTATTGGCCTGTGAAGCTGTGAGGCCTCAAAGGACAAGGCCACAGCTGAGGACGTTTGGCTCCAACCCCAGTTAGCTAAAAGGAGACTGCAGTGCAGGCTCCACACTCCTACAGTAAGTGTCAACCTATAAAGATAGTTCTCCTGATTGACAAGGTCCTGCTAATTCTTGTGTTTTCTTCAGTATCCCCCTCCTTTGTTTGAAAACTAAATACAGGCTGCCCAGAGAAGTTGCCTCAAACCCCTCAAAATCTCAAATTCTGTGCGGGTTTTTTTTTTGGGGGGGGGGCGTCTTTTTGAGACAGGGTCTTGCTCTGTAGCTCAGGCTGGCTTTGAACTCACAACAATCTTTCTGCCTCAGCCTCCCGAGTGCTGGAATTACAGGTGTGCGTCACCACCCCCGACTTCTGTGAGGGTTTTTGATCCTCCCGGAGCCCTGAAGTCATTTCAATTGTCTCATTTAAGCCTTCACCGTCCACTCTTTTGGGAGATTGCAGGCCTGATCAGTCCGTAATAACTAAGGGATATTAATCCCATACCCAATGCCAATGCCAGGCCAGCCACCAAGGACACCATGGGGATCTAAGAGCTCCTCAGTGCTGCTGGGCCATCGGCTGCCGTGCCCAGATCTAGGCAGAGAGGACAGGATGGCAAGGATGGGCAGGCCACTCAGGGTGAGCCTCAACACGGTCAACAATTCCAAAGGTTTATTCCCGAGTCACACAACGTGATGATGGGGTGGGGACTCACACAACGCATTTCACAGACAGCTGAGCTCGACCTTGGGGACAACAGGAGCTGCGTGCAGCACACAGCTGCCGCACGTCCAGCGGCCCCGGGAAGCCATGGGGACGGGCGGGACAGGCACTTCCTGCACAGCCTCCCATGGCCCAGGTTCCAGCGGCCACAAAGCAATAAATACTCATGTCACATGCAGCAAGGTGAGTCGTGGGGCAGCAAGACAGGAGGCCGTTGTGGGCACTCGCTTTCCTGTGCCCCAGCACAGTGGACTATTTCAAGTATCGCAAGGATAAACGTGTGTTCTGTGTGTGGCACATGACCCTTGAACCCTCCTGTGGGCACCACAGACCCACACGTCCTGCAGGAGTTCGGGGATACATTCAAGTAGGTTTGGGCAGGGCTGAGTTGTGCTGGGCCTGGGGCCAAGATGCCCAGTGCATGCCCACCCCAGATGAGATCTGAGTGGCCCTGGTGGGCACTGGGCACAAAAAATGGCAAAGCTCATCCTGCCCTGCCCACTGAGTCCAGCTGGGGAAGGCAACTGAGCACTGCCCATCCTGCAGGGCGTGGGGACAGCCAGCCACCTGGACTCGTACACACACACACACAAACAGGTGCAGGCCTGTCACGCACACACAGCCACGGGCTGGCACCTCCCGCTGCCACCGTCCAGCACCCAGCAGAGTCCAGGCCCGGCCCCACCACCCCACCTTCCCAACAATGTGAAACACCTGAAGGGTGGCTTCTTTAAAGAAAAAATGAGCTGCAGAAAAATAAGACACATTTTTAGAAGAGTGAAAAGTTACATCTGTTCTGGGTCTAGAAAGCTTGGTGTTCCACTGTCCCTAGGAAAACAGTAAATACAAGGGCTGCTGCTCCTGTGGGCACGGAGCCAGGCTGATGCCCCCAGAGGCACACACACTGGGCTATGTATAGGTATACACATGTGTGCACATGTACACGCAGGGCTATGTATAGGTATACACATATGTGCACATGTACACATGGGGCTATGCATAGGTATACATATATGTGCACAGGTACACACAGGGCTATGTATGGGTATACACATATGTGCACATGTACAACTGACCGAGAGGAGACAGTTCTCTGCCGCCTGCATGGGGACGGCTCTGAGGCTGGGTTCTCCGTCTGTCTGCATAAAGTGCTTGGTGATTTACAAAGCTGGGTGGGGGTTTAGGGGACAGGTTCCTAGAGGGCTGGGAGCCACAAGCAGTGACCCGGAAGAGTTCACTTTGGCTTAGAGTCAGCAACACCATCTCAGGGCCCGCCTGTCCTCAGCATTGCCCTGGGCACAAGGGTGGCAGTGCCCATGCACGCCTGCCCACTACCTCCCAGCACCAGCGCAGGTGGGAGGTGGCCTGAGAGGACACACTGCAGCCCGCGGCAGGAAGAAACCAGCAGGCCAGATGTGGGCGCCACCTGCTGCATCTCACCAGGGCCCGGGCAGCAGCTCAGCACCATGGATCAGGGCCAAGGCTGGCAGGCCGGCCGACATCCAGCAGCACGCGCAGCCCACCACAGGGCTGGCCAGCAATGCGTCAGGCACAGACACCGGAGAGCAGGGCTGAGAGTCTCCGCTCAATGCAGAGCTTGCCTGTGGGAAACGGGTGTGTGGGCTAGAGGTGGGGGAGGCCCGGCCCGCCCCCACACACCCAAGTGCGCAGCACTCACACTTGGCGATGTTCTCAATGTCGGTCTGGTCCGTAAGCATGTGCTGCAGCCCCTCCAGCAGCAACAGGGCCTTGTGATAGCGCGGCACGCAGCCCTCGTGGTGCTGGAACATCTCGTCCAGGGCAGCCGACTGCACCTGCAGGCGAGGGCAGAGCTGGGCCCAGGCAAGAGCTGATGGCCGCAATGGGCAGCCTGGCAGCACTACAGTGTGTGCATGGACAAGTGTAAAGGTGCCAGGGCCGCCGTCACGTGGGGCATACGTGGGAGGCTGGTGGCCCATGCAGCCCAGGTTGGCTCGGGAACAGCCAGCACACCCACCAGGTAGAGGGACAGAGCTGGCTGCATGTCAGAGCCCCATTCAGGCAGAGTGCTGAGTGTCACTGATGGTGACACCTGTGCAGGGGTGGGGGCTGGGCTGCGGGAGCATACTGTCTGGACCTTTGTCTCTACTGTGACCTATTGCTGTGCGTGAACTGTCTCTAGGCCAGACTGGCTGGAGCCGTCTGGAGGCTGGTCTCAGTTTTGCCGGAGAAACTGAGTCTGCCCTGACGTGTGTGGGGAGGGACATGGCCCTGTGGCTCCAAGGGGCCCCCGCCCCCGTACCATCTGCACAGCATGGCTGAGGATGAGCCGCTCAGCGGTGACGCTATGGATGCCGTCCAGCAGCCGCTGTTTGTCCAGGAAGAAGCGTTGCAGCCGCAGGCTCAGGCCCTGGCAGGACGTCACACTGGCCTTGTACAGCTCGTTCAGCTTGCGCACCACTGTGGGGGGACTCAGTCAGCTCCCTGCCCTGTGGGGACCGGGACCCCACGAGTGGGCTGTGTGTGTGGGGATGGCACTCAGGGTGTCACAGCTGGGAGACCGAGGTCCTCTCCCAGCCCCGGCGCAGTGAACACAACATCCCACCCGAGGGCCCCATGCTGCACCCTACACCCCACAGCTCCTCTGCCGCCTGCCCTCACCCTGCTTCACAGTGGACGACAGGCACAGCTTGCCGGCCCGGATCTGGTCAATGGCCGTCTGCAGGCCCGAGGACAGCAGCTCAGCCACCTTCAGGTACAGCACCAGCTGCTCTGCGAAGCTGCAGGGTGGCAGGAGGTCAGGAGAGTGGTGCCTGCCTGCCACCCCAAGCCCCAGGGACACATACCCCCACTCGCGGCTCAGCAGGCTGATCTGGTCGGCCACCAAGCTCTCCTGCAGCTGGCACTCAGGGCCCATGGTCGCCTCGCTGGCACTGCCCTTCAGGGCCGCGATCTCCAGCACGTGCTGCACAAACACCAGCGTGAAGCGCAGGCTGTGCAGGATCTCCGTGTGCTCTTGCTGGGGCGCAGAGGCAGGTGTTGGGGTGGGTGGCAGGTGAGCGGGCAGGCGACCCAAGGAGCTTCCCAGCCCAGGGAGCCCTGCCCGCCGCTTCCCTAGGCTGGCCTCACCTCCATGAGGGTCTCCTCAGGGAGGTCGGGGGCCTCAAAGGTCACAGCCCCCTCCAGGTGGGCAGACAGGGGATCCCCGGTGCTGCAGCAGTGGCCCGGGGCAGTGAGTTCTGGGGCAGCCTCACCACAGGCCCCGGGCATCAGGTGGCGGGCAGAGGAGGAGCCGGTGGAGCCCACTGTGGGAGACACAGCTGAGGGGTGGTGCCTCCCCCCTCCCCTCCCTGGGTCACAGCCCCGCATGCCACATAAGGCTTACACTCGCTCAGTCTAACCCGGTAAAGCCACAAGGACTAGGCTGCCCCTGCGCACCATCCAGCCCCGGGCACAGGGGCACTTGCTGTGCCCGGACCCAGGGCCTGGCCAACACAGTGCGGCCTTTCAGGCCAGTGAGGCAAGGAGGCTGGCACCCCGGACAGGGGCCTGTGTCCCAGGGATGCCCCTGTCCCTGGCCCACTGTGGGGACGCACCCGACCGCCTGACTGGCACTGACCAGGGTTCTCTGCCTGCCTCCCAGGAGCAGTTGTGGCGGCCCAGTCCAGCCTCACCTGAGAACATCCGGGCGCGGGGTCCCGGGGGCGGTGTAGTCCCGCTGGGGGGTGAGCCCACTGTGAATACCACCGGGGCCGGGCTGCTGGCACCCCCAGCACGGGCTCCAGGGTGCAGGTTCCCTCCGAAGCCAGCAGAGGGCGCTGGGAGACACATAGAGAGCGGGTCAGGGTCCACTCGGGGCAGATCACACACAGCTACCCCAGCCAGCCCTGGCGCACCGATCTCCATGGGCTTCTCCTGCAGGCTGTCTGTGCTGCCTGAGTCCGAGGCCTGTGTCCCAAATGCAGCCTTGAGGAGCAGGTCAGTGAGGCGGCTGGTGCTGAAGGACCTACGGGAGGGATGTGGGGCTTCAGGTGCTGGGCCTTGGCTCTCTGCTGGCCCCACACACCATCTCAGTTCATCACCAGCAGGTACAGGAGGCCAACCAGCTGTGGGCCAGGCTCCCCAGAGGCACAAAAGGCAGAGAACAAGGCCTGGCACCCACCTCCCGCGTACCCCACTCACCGGCCAAAGGGGCCCCTGGCATCCTCAGCTGTCCGCAGGCCAGAGCCCAGCTGCTGTCCCTGGAAGGGCCCCACCTCTGAGAGGTCAGGCAGCGTCCGGTTTCGGGGGGGTGTCATCACCACACCCTGCCGGGCCAGCAGAGCCAAGAGGTTCTGGGAGCTGGGGACCTTGGGAAAGTCGAAGGAGGGCACGGCCTGGAGGGGGAGATAGCAGTGACACCCAACCTGCTGCAGCCTGTGTGCATGCTGAGGGCCTCACACCCCAACAGGGCAAGGCCTGGGGGCCACTCTGAGGAAGGGAAATGGGGCTGCCCCAGGGTGGCTGTCTGACTTCCACGGTGGCCTTGTGCACCCAGCCTGGGCCACAACCCTGAAAAGGAAAGCCCCCCCCTACCCCCAACGCCACTGCCACAAGCACAGGGTCTCCAAGGGTGTCCTGACCTGCACCCCGGCCTCCCACCCATGGCCACACGCAGGGACTCCGGGCCCCGGCCATGCCCGAGTGAGGTCCAGGCAGGCGACAGGAAGCAGGGTCTTGTCCCCTAGAGGGCACTCAGGAGCTGGAAAGCTGTGCAAGGTTTACCTTGGTGGGGGAGCCCAGGATGGGGGGCAGGGGGTTCCGCTGCAGAAAGTCGGGAAGCTTGGGTGAGCCACGCAGGGGCCGGCAGGACTGCAGCACAGGAGCAGACGGGCAGGGGCTGGGCTGCGGGGGGCTGAAGGTAGCGCCCAGTGGGTCCGTGGGGGGCTTGGGCAGCTTGGGGCGGACGACATGCAGGTCTGACAGGTTGGGGGCGCTGTGCAGGCGGCAGCCCAGCCCGGGAGTGCGGGGGGAGTGCTCGGGCACGGAGGAGCCTGAGAACAGGACAGGCTTATCACCAGACTTCCAGGGCACACAGACAGCCACCAGACCACCACTGCCCTGCTCCAGGGCTCCAGGGCTCCAGGGCTCCAGGAACCCTTTCCCCTTCCAGTGAGGATGACACAAGACAGGCTACACCTACCTGGCCGTGGTGACCTGCTAGCACGCATATCAGCTCCCTGCGGGGAGGGTGCCCTGCTCCAGCCAGGCCGTTCGGGGATGGTTCCAACTTGGGGAAGGAGGTTTCAGGATCAGAGTGGTCAGACAAGAGGTCTCTGAGCCCACCCCACCCTCCAGACCTGAGGCTTTGCTCACCCTGTGGGGATGGTGTGTAGGGCCGGCCCCCACCCAGAGACAACTTCCTGGCCAGGACAGCGCCATCAGCATGGGACGGGGGTGACGGGCTGGCCCGGACGAAGCCCAGGGGACTGGTGCCGCCTGACCTGCGGCTGGCAGAGGACCTGGAGACAGGGCAGGCAGTGTGAGGCCCCAGCACCCATACCACCCCCCAGTGAGGGCCACGGGGTGCCTTGGGGTCCTCCCCACAGTGCTGGACATGTGTGGGCTGGCCGTGCCATGCCAGGGCACTCACCGGGGGGTGTGGTGCTGGCTGGGCAACTGCAGGTTCTGCTCAATGCGCTGGTAGTTGTGCACCTGAGTGGGGACGGGGATGGGGACCGATGCGCCGTACCTGCTGCTGGAGAAGGCGCCAGCCCGGCTGCAGGGGAAGATGAGGGCTCACAGGGACCCTGGAGGGGGCAGCACCCAGGGCCTGTTCTGCCCACACCTACCGTGTGTCTGCACCCCACCCCGGGGAGCAGGCAGAGTGCTGCGGACCACCCATGTACCTGCATGAGGACTGGGCCTCTGCCCACGTCAGCCCTGCTAAGCAAGGATGCCACCCACAGGATGCCAGGATGCCCGCCTGCCCGCCCCAGCCAGGCCCTGCTTACCCTGAGGGGCTGGGGGAGCTACTGCAGGAGGGGGAGGGGGACGGTGTCCGGCCATGGCTCTCCAGCCCCGCAGAGGCCACCAGCGAGCTGCTGCAGGCAGAAGGGACAGATGTGGCTCTCGGGTACCAGTCCTTCTTGGTCACCTCCCCAGGCAGAGAGGCACCAGCCGCCCTTAAAGCCCTGAATGCTCACCCACTGCAGAGCAGGCTGTCCGGTGGAGGCTTGGCACTGGCCCCCTCGGCCACCAGGTCACCTGCAGGGGCACAGCGACATCTGGCCAGGTGTCCGCTGCTCTCCAGAGCCCACCACACCACAGGGTTCCCCGCCTGAGTGTCACTTCCCTTCTCCCGGAGGGCCCCCAACAGGCCATGGCCTTGAGCGTGCAGTGGCCCCAAGGCAGCTCAGTGCGGCTGGAGGAGCGGGACCTCGCTCCACAGCTCTCTCTGCTCGGAACGCAGAGCTTCAGCTGCCCTCGCCAGCTCCAGGGCAGCAGGGAGACGAACACCCACCCTGCCCATGAAGCCCGGCTCCCACCCACTGTGAGTCCCTGTCCCTGGCTGTCCTTCTGCCACCTCGGAGCTGTGGCAGGCCGGACCCTGCCTGGGGACCTGAGGCCAGACACCATGGACCAAGCTGGATCAGGAAGGGAGGAGCAGTGCCTGAGGACAGCAGAGTGGGGGCAGGGACACAGCCCCAGGTGAGGAGCAGCCCACGGGGACGCTGCCTGCCTGTGCCAAGACACGCTGCACTCCCTGCTGCCCTGACCTGGGAACTGAGCGGGGACCATGACGAAGTCGTCAGTATCACAGGAGTCCTTGCTGCTGCCGCCTGAGTCCCGGGAGCCATGCAAGAAGCCAGCGGCATCAGCTGGGGAGGTCAGTGTCTTCTGCAGTGGCGCCATCTCCCCCAGAGACTAGAGGAGAGCAGAGAGGCCAGTGCTCACATGGACAGATGGACAGACAGGGTCTCTGCAGACCTGGCCCCCTAGATGGGACCACCACGCCCAGCTCAAGAGCAGTGGGGTCCACGTGCTCTTGAGGGAGGCCCCAGACACCAGCTGTGCTGCCCACTGGCCTGGCCACTTACCGGAGGGGAGGCCAGGTGCGAAGTGGAGCTGCTACTGGAGCTGCTGCCCGACCCCGAGCTTGGGTAGGAGGGCACAGGCACAGGTGGAGCTGCAAAAGGTGAGGGCAGTCTGCGGGATGTGCTGTCACACCCTGTGGAGGGGTGGCAGCTGCCAGAAGCTACTGGAGATGACCATTCCCCCGGGCAGGTGCCCTCAAGCATAGCCCCTGCAGCATAGTTCCCAGAGCCGCGGCCCAGGAGGGACATAAACAAGAACCCTCACCCCAAGCCACAACGGCGACCTGCATCAACCTTCAGTGGCCCCGCCAGTCGTCACTTGGGACAGGAGCCAGTGGCCAGCATGAGGTGGCATCAGCCTCCATCCCAAACCTCCACACCACGGCCACCCGCACCCAGCATGAGAAGCCTCAACCGACAGGCAGCAAGAAGACCCCTCCCACCCTCAGGACTCACACTTCTTGATGGAGGAGCTAGCGTCCAGGAAAGGGTGATGGAAAAACTCGTCTGCGGGAGAAAGTCAGCCCTCAGATCACCCCAGAACCTGGCCGTGGGAACCCATCTCATCTAGCCACGCCCACCTGTGCCAGGCTGGGCTCCCGAGGCAAGACCAGGCTGCAGCCCTGTGGCTGGGGACTTCCTGCCCACCCACAGACCTGAGGGGTGTGGCTGGGCCACAGTACTCACCGAAGTCCATGCGGTCCTTATGGCTGCGCTGCAGGAGCGCCAGGAGCAGCTGCCGCAGGGGTGCCGAGGTCTCGCGGGGGATTCTGGGAGGGCAGAGATGAGCTGATGGGGCTGGGGCAGCCGGGGCAGGGCTGACCAGGGGACACTCGGGGGAGGGGAGGTGCTTACGCAGGGACCAGCGTCTTGTTTTTCTCATAGAACAGTCTCAGGTCCTGAGGACTGCTGGCCTGCAGGGACAGTGAACGGCATGAGCCCTGCCCCAGCAGCCCTGCCTCGGCCACAGCCTGGCACACTGGGCCCACACCCTGCGAGCCCCACCTGGCCACAGGCAGCCCAGTGCCTGCTCTGTTCTGTGCCCTCCTTGCCATTGATAGGGACCCTGGCACCTTGAGGAGCAGGTACACCCCAGGGTTTGATGCCACGTGTCCCTCGGGGCCCTCTCACAGGACACCTTTAGGACACAGGCCACCATCTGGGAAATGGGCCACCCCACACTCAGCCCAGTGCCAACAGCCTGACTGTCGTGTCCCCCCCCCCCCCGTGCCAGGGCCCCAGCTGCCCTACACCCCTGCTCCAGCCACAGGCCTTGCCCACCTGAAACGGCGCCTTTCCCGTCAGGCACTGGTAGATGATGGTGCCGATGCTCCACAGGTCCGCCTTCCCGTCGTAGTGCTGCGACATGATGACCTCAGGAGCCTGCGGCCAGAGGACAGGTTAGCGCTATGGTGCACAGCCGCCCCGACCAGGCGGCCTGGCGCAGACAGGCTGGAGCCAGGGGACGCACCATGTACATGGGGGAGCCGCACAGCGTGGCCGCCATCGTGTTGCTCTGCAGGTAGCGGGCAAAGCCGAAGTCAGCTGCAGAGAGAGACAGGTCAGGGCCCAGAGCCGTGGCCGGGCGGGACCCTGGGCCCTGCAGCAGGGCCCCACCCGGACTCACCAATCTTGACACGGATGTTGTTGGGGTTTGCACGGCGCCCCCCAGGGTTGGACAGCAGGATGTTCTGTGGCTTCAGGTCGCGGTGAATGATGCCCTTGCTGTGCAGCAGCCGCATGGCACCGGCAATCTGCTGCAGGAAGAGCCTGATGGTGTCCTCGCTCAGGGTCCGCATGGCTGCAGGAGAAGCAGGCTCAGGGGCGCCCGTCTTGGCCAGCAGGTGGCACGGCAGCCCGGGGGGGAGCACAGCAGCACCCTGTTGGGGACCTGCTTCCTCTCTGGCAGGAGTCTACCCCAAAGGCTCAGCTGCAAGCCAGGGTGTCAGAAGAGGGACAAGGGGCAGCCCAGCACCCAGGCAGAGGGAACGCCCTCACCCTGAGCAGGAAGTACCACTCTAGTGCCTTCCAAACTCAGGTACAGGAATCCTCACCTGGGGGGCCATGTGGTGGGTGCTAGGATGCAGGTAGCAGGGGGAGCAAGCCCTCTGCAGCCCTAGATTGTAAACCACCCCCCGAGGTGCTTTACTGCCACAGCCTGAGGACCAGAACAGATGATGACCTCCCTCCAGGCATGCAGCCAGAGCCTCTCAAACTTTCTGCCCACCCTACCCACAGACACCCCACAGTCCTGCAGCACCGTGTTCCTGTCCGCAGGTGCAGGCTGCCCCATCTTCCACACGGCCACGCTCACGCCCACCCTCACTACCTACTCCACCTCCTTGTCTGGCCCAGAGCAAAGACCCTGGAAGCAGAGCAGTCTGAAGTCCTGCTCACAGGTGTCTCCTCTCCCCAGCACACAGGACTCCAACTAAATCCCAGAGTGGGCAGGAGGTGGGCAGGTCCAACCTGGCAAGGTCCCTCCCATCCATCTCAGGGCACCAGAAGACACAGGCCACACGCCCAGCCAGCAGGGCCACTCCTCCAGGCCTCCCGGCTGCCCCGCCGCACACCACTCACTGTGCAGGTAGTCAGCCAGATCGCCACCGTTGCAGTACTGAAGGAAAACAGGGATGCATGTCCAGGCATGGCCGGCCCCAGCTCCGGCCCCAGCCGCAGCCCCCCAAACCCCGCCCCACACCACACTGTCTGTTGACAGGGTCTGGGCTCACCTCCATGACCAGGTAGACGGAATTGGCCATTTCCTGCAGGACAGAAAGAGAGGCTATAAGGGATGGAGCAAAGGCCACCTCAGGTGCCCACAACACACCACCTACCTCGCAGGTCATGGGGCACAGCCGACATGCCAAGCCAGGACTCAGTAGTTACCACCAGAGGTAGGACCTCCACAGCGCAGCCAACGCTGGAGGTGAGTGCTTGCCACGTCTTGTGCCCATTTCAATTGAAATGTGGCCTGGGCTGGGTGTGGTGACCCACACCCCCCATCCTAGCTCACTGGGAGACAAGCAGAACCCTAAATCTGAGCCATGCATGGACAACTTAGTAACCCAGTGAGTGTCTCTAATAGAAAAGGGCTGGAAGTGCAGCTCCGTGAAAGGCCCTACGTTCACTCCACACTACAGAGCCAGAGTAATTTTGCACATGAGCAACTGGAATAGCAACCTGCAAGGAAACCAGGGACTTTGGTTGGTCCCGGCCCAGTCTCGAATTCAGGGCTGCATCCTGCATGGTGACACCCAGACACTGAGCAGCAGCAGGGAGTGGGTCCAGGCGACAGGGAGAGGCTGTCCGGGACCCATGACTCAGGCACTCTGAGCCCCCAGAGTCAGAGACGCCACCAGATTAGGGGTTGGTGCTACCAGGCTGAGTCAGCACCAGGGCACCAGGCTGCCAACCCCACGCCCCAGCCTGAGGCACCTGTCCTTGCTCTGCTCCTGGCCAGCCTTGGGCAGTGCACACCTAGCTAAGCAGAGCCCTCCAGAGCACCTGGCTGCAGGCGGGTGCCCAGCACAAACACCCACTCTTGGAACTTCACAGAGGCCACTGAGGCCCAGGCCAGACGAGCCGGACAGGCTGGGCCTGCCCACCCTGCAAGTCCATGTGCAGATGGTGCCTTCCCACCCGCTGGGGTGGCTCTGCCAACAACAGCAAGCACCCAACCAACTCTGTGACCGCAGGACCCAGGCTGGGCACTTGGGGATCCACGCCCTGCTTGCTCTACCTCCACACCCTGCTTCCCCATGCTCCAAGTGGGAGGTAGCAGGTTAAGCTCATATGCCCCAAGCTCCTGGTGGGTATGGTGCCTGGAAGGTAGAGGGTATCTGAGGCCTGTGGGGCCAGGCACACAAAGCTCAGGCACACAGCCTGGCACACAGCAGCCAGCTGCCAGGTGCAAGCCACCTTGCCTCCAATTTGCTAAACCCCAGGACCTCTGGCATCTCCTAAGCACCCAACTCCAGGAGGCTGAGGACATGGCCAGGCAGGAAGAGATTCCTAGAGGCAAGGACATACCGAGAGGAGAGCCCTGACCTGCCCCACCCATCCCCACTGTCCCTGTCTTACCTTCCTACACCTCGGCCCCACCCCAACCCAACCTTCCAGGGAAGCTGCAGGGGAGAGATAACCACGGCAGGTGTGGCTTGGCTAGGGAGTCCCCAGGGCGGGGCTCAGAGCGTCAGCGGCTGGGATGTGCCACAGAGACTGGGGACAGACACCAGGTCCAGGAGAGCCCAGGAAGGCCCCACCATAGGACCTCTACCACCTGCCAGTGCGGCCCACTTGACCTAGAAGAGATATGGCAGAGGGCACAGGGTGGGACCTGAGCCTGCCCTCCTGTGGCAGAGGCAGGACTGGGGACGCAGCTGTGGCCAAAGGCATGCTACCTCCCTGCACTGCTGGCCCAGGACGTCAGGGACCACAGCAGCCTCCTGTTTCCCCCATAAGCAAGTTCAGAGAGCCTTGCTGTCCTCAAACCCAGGGCAGGGCAGGGCAGGGCAGGGCAGGGAGCTGCTGCCCACACTCCAGCCAGGCCCTGAAGAACACTGCAGGTCCCGGGGCCCACAGGACCCAGCTCGGGACCCCGTGCCCAGCAGCCGCAAGAAGCCCCACCTCATAAACAAGTGAGTGCAGCCCCGCAGACCCAGGCGCTGTGCCCAGCAGGGAAGTAGCAGGGCCAGCCGAGGCAGGCCAGCTCACACACCCTCCTCAGCCTCAACGCCAGTGCCAAGCTGAGGGCTGTCCTCTGGTCTGCAGTGCCACCCAGGAGGGCTGGCGGGAGGAGCCAGGCCCCAGGACCAGCAGGGCACCAGGACACAGGGGGAATGGCCACAGTCCCTGTGGCCTCTCCAGGGCCCAAGGCTGGGGACGAAAGCAAGTAGGGCCTCCCCGAAACCACCCAGCCTTGGGCCCACCGGGACCCATGCAGTGCAGGCGCCAGCTTCCGGCCATGCTCCATGACAGACAGCAGGCACAGGGGTGCAGGTGGCGGCAGTGGCGGGAACACCAGGGTCTCGCACCAGAGAGCAGCAAAGGAACAGCGTGGCTGCTGGGCCTGGGACACAGACCCGGCCTCCCGACGGGCTGCCGCAGCGTCAGCAGACCCTGAGTCCCTCCTGCACACATGGAGGCTCAGACAACCATCAAAGCCTTGAGAGGGGCAGCACAGCCGCTGCCTGGAAGACAGGCCCGCCAATTCAAGAGCCATGCCAAGGGGAAGCCAGCATCTAGGCAGGAAGCCGCACAGGTCATCCGCGTGGGCACGGGCGCTCAGGCACGTAGGAGCTGCCCGCCCCGGGCCTTAAGGTGCTTTGCTTAATAGGATCCTGGCTCCCCACCCTCACCAGCCCACTCCGGTCTGGTGATCCTGGCTGGCCCAGTGGGTGGGCGGGTGGAAAGGTGCTGACCTACTTCACTCTTCTAGAGCAGCAGCCGCCAAAGGTGGCAAAGCCCAGCAACGGGGACAGCCACCACCCCGCCCCTGCTCTTCCGATGCTGGAGAAGAAACGGGAGGTGGCCTGTCCAGGAGGAAGGCCCACCCAGCTCCAGCCCAGAGCACAGTGGTGTAGGATGTCCCCGCAGGTCCCAAACCCAGCCCTGCTGACCCACAGCAGTGGGGCAGGGTAGGGAAGGACGTGCAGGAGACACTGCCAACACAAGGACCCAGGCAGCAAGTCCCTCGGCCACACAGGGCCACCTTGGCCGTGAGGCACGTGCAGGCAGACATGTAGGCAGCCCTACAGCAGGGCTGGGCGTGGTCCCAGCAATACTGGGGCACCGGACACAGCGCCCCATGAGGCTGCAGCCCCACCTCCGGGAAGCACCAAGACCAGCAAGGCAGCTGGCACAGCCAGGCTGAGGGGACAGGGAAGAGAAAGGGTCACCATGACGGCAGAAGATGGATGGGGCGGCTTCGGGGGCACCATGCTCCCTGACAGGTGCTCACTTTTCCAGGCAACTGTCCTACCTCGAGCTTTGTACTCACCACTGTTAATTTTGTTTACGAAACGATTCATGGGACCTTTATCCCTTCCTGGCCCATAAACACAACACTGACATGTACACCTCCATGTGAGAGGAAGCTTACAGCCTGCAGGCAGCAGCACGACTGCTGGCCCTGGGCCTCTGCTGGCATCGCACCACCCTCTCAGGGTCTGTATGCCTGCCTGCTCTCTGGGAAGGGTGCATACTGCCAAAGCACACTGCCTAGGACTCAGGGTGAGTAAAGGCAACTCTGAAACCGGGTCTGTCTGCAGGACTAGGTACATCACTGCTCACCAGCAAGGTGCCTGTCTGCAGCACATTGGCCTCGAGGATGAGCCTGGAGCCCAGCAAGATGCCCCAGCTCACAAGAGGGGAGTGAGGCTGGAATCCAGCACATACAAGGCTTTACTAGGTTTGATCCACAATGCCAAAAAAACAAAGGGACAAATCAACACAAGAACAAAAATAGGCTAGGCATAGTGGCACATGCCTGTGATCCCAGCACTTGGGAGGCTGAGGCAGGAGGATACTGTGTTGGAGGCCAGCCTGTGCTCCAGCCCAGTTCTAGACCAGTCTAAACTATACAGCACGCCCTGTCTGAAAAACCCATTTAAAAAAACCCTCAATAGAAAAGAAAGCAACCCAGGGGACCTATATACACCCTATCACAAGAACTAGTTTCCTTAACAGCCCACAGATCACTGACACCCACACATACACAGTGCAGTTCTGACACTGAACACATAGTGGTTCAAGTCTTCAGCACAAACAGCCAGGAAAACCAGTGCCAAGGAAGGGGCCCTGACCAGGTCTGACAACCCCACCCACCAAAATACAACCCAGGCGTGGGCATCAGGAGGACTTTGAGATATCCATCCATCCTCAGACCAAGGAGTTGTGCAGCTGTGTCCTAACACCGCAGAGTCCAGAACAGCCCCTTGTCCCTCAGCAGCCACCACAGGTGAGGTCTTCGGTGGCAGGCACCATAAATGATAGCCACAGCATGACAGTAGCTGACACTTCCCAGGCTCCCTGCGGCCAGAGTTTGCTGTCACCCAACCAGACAGGACAGAGGCACACACGCGTGTCCACGGCACAGCCTGCCTAGAGCCCAGCTCTGAGCTCTGGGCCTGCAGGGGTCGGGGTGAGAAGTGGAAGGCAACCGGGGACACTCAAATGAACAAAGCCACGTGAGGGCAGTGGATGTAGCAGGGAAGGATACTCATCTAGTGGTAGCAATGGCTGTCCCCAGATCAAGTATGCAGGATGTCTGAGGACAGAGGACCATCCAAAGATCGAGGGTGACTCTGTCTTCCTTTCTGTTAAATTTGGGGACATTGCTGCCCAATCATTTCTCGCTGGTGTTTTTTCTGAGAGAAAGCTTTACTATGTAGTTTGGGCTGACCTTGAACTAATGATGATCCTCCTGCTTCAGCCTCCCCAGTTACTGGGATTAAAAGCTTGGGTCACCATACCCAGTTTACCTATTGTTAAAAACAAATTGGGCTGGGCATGATGGTGTAGCCCTGTAATCCTAGCACTTTGGAGGAAGGCAGAGACAGGAGGACAGCCACCATTTGAAGCCAGCTTGGACTACACAGTGAGATCAAAGCCAACCTAGTAGTCAGGCGTGGTGGCACATGTCTGCAATCCCAGCACTCAGAAGGCTGAGGCAGGAGGTTTACTGCAGGTTGGAGACTATCCTGGGATACAAAGTGACTTCAAGGCCAGCCTGAACTAAATATAAGACCCTGTCTCAAAAAGACATTAAAAAAAAAAAGGGGGCCAGGGATACAGCTCAGCGGCATAAGCGCCTGCCTGGCAAGCTCAAGGTCCTGAGTGCGATTCCCAGCACCAGAAAAAAAAACAAAAACAAAAACAAAACCCAGGCATGCTGGCACACGTCTGTAATCCCAGCATAAGGGAGGCTGAGGCAGGAGGATCGTTGTGATTTTGAGACCAGCCTGAGCTACAAAGTGAGCTCAAGGCCAGCCTGAACTGCATAGCGAGACCCTGTCTCAAAAAACAGTCAGGCAAACACACAAAAACCAAATCACTGGACATGGGAGCACACAGTGCAAGGCCAGCCTAAGCTATATAGTGAGACCTTATTTCAAAATGCCAAGAACAGCCAGGCATGGCAGCGCTCGCCTGTAATCCCAGCATAAGGGAGGCTGAGGCAGGAGGATCGTTGCGAGTTTGAGGCCCGCCTGTGCTACAAAGTGAGCTCACGGCCAGCCTGAACCACATAGCAGGACCCTATCTCAAAAACACAAACAACAACAACAAAGCCACAAAATGCCAAGAATACATAAAAGCAAGTCATCCATTTCTGGTACCAGTGTTCCTCCCAAACAGAAGTGCTTCGAATACAGGAGGGCAGTTCCACACACCACGGGGTGAGAGTGGCCCCCAGAGCCCGGGAGAGGCTGTGGCTGGCATTTCTCAGCACTTCCTCTGGGTAGAGGAAGCCACAGTGTTGCCAACACTGGAGGAAGTGACAGTGCCCAGGGTCAAATGTGTCTCCGGTCAGGCGGCAGTCTTGCCGGGCTGGTCAGCTAGAGCCCAGGTGACTGCCACCTGCCCTCCCCTGGACCCACCTGGAGATGCTGGGCCAGTGAGGTGCGGCCCAGGGCAGGACAGGCCCTCTCCTGCCCTGGGTCCTGCTGGAGGCTTCAGAGGGAGGGAAGAGGAAGGATGGGGCAGGGAGGAAGCAGAGGAAGGAGGCCTGGGACAGGGCAGGAAGGCAGGTGGGGAGGGCGGAGTGCGCTCGGCCTCCTGGACCCAGAACACAATGTCTCTGGCAGTTTCCAGGTACTCCCTGTCACATTAGACCTGGCCCTGCCCACACATGACGTGTCACAGCCCCCAAGGCCACAGCAAAACTGACAGCGGAGGAGGGAGGAGGCCACCAAAACACAGCCGCCCGCTGGGAACTTCCCTCAGCCAGAGCTGGTCCCGTGGCCCCAGTAAACAGGTTTCAAAAGCATTAGTCAGCACTCTGCTTGGTGGAGCCGCGCCTCGAGCTCCTGGTCCCAACGCTGGGCACCCAGGGCCCTCAACCCTGCTCCACTGCCCCGGGGCCCAGCCGGGGGATGGTTTGGGAAGCCGCCGAGCTGCGGGCAGCCTGCTGGGGCCCGCCAGGCCTCATCCGGCAGAGCCGGGTGTCGGGCAGGCCCAGCACCAACTGCCAGCAAGGAACCTCCGGCAGCCCCTCCCCCTCCCGCTCTGACGCAGGGAGGTCCCGGCCAATGCCGGGCCGCTGGAACAGTGTCAACAAACAAGCCACCGGCCGGACAGGTGGGCCTGCCTGGGACGCCGAACTCAGCCAGGGCCAGGGGGTCGCGCACGAGGGGGCCCCCGGGGCGCACAACAGCGCCGCGGCCCTCCCCTCCCCAGCCAGGCAGCCGGGCAGGCCGGGTCTGCCCGACACCCAGGGCAGCCAGACCAAAGCGGGGCGGAAGTCTCCAGGGCCCCGACGGCCGCAGGGCTTCCCATCCGCGCAGCCGGCGACACCGGCCGGGCCTCAGGACCCCCGACCGGAGGCTGGGGCGACTCCGACCCGCGGCCGCGCGCCTCCCCCCGCCCGCCGCGGAAGCCTCACCTGGAAGTCGTACAGCGCCACAATGTTCTCGTGCTTCAGCTCCTAGGAGGAGACGCACGCTGTTCACCGCGCGGGGAGGGCGGCCTGTGCCCTCCCGTCGCGGGCCAGCCGCTCACCTTGAGGATCTTTATCTCCTTCCCCAGCAGCGTCTGCGACTTGGCCAGGTTCTTCTTGTTAATGCACTTGACCGCGACCTCCAGGTCATGCTTCTGGAAACCAAGTGCGGATTTCGAGGCTGGGGCGCACGGAGACGACCCCCGGCTCAGGCGCGGCCCCGGGGGTGCGGGTCGAGGCAGCCCCGACACACTCGGGCGGGGCGGGCTCCCCGGGGAGGAGGGTCGCGGGCGGGGTTCCCG